TCTCCTGCTGCTGTGCTGTGGAACGTCACCGCCCCCTGCAGGCTGAAGCTGGAGGTTCGACTGTGTGTGTGGGACTGGAGGAACAGCAGCTGCAGCAGCGCTCACACACACACACACTCGCACACACACCGCTGGACCCAGACTAACCACACACACTGGGTAAACACAGCGAGATTAAACACATCAATAGTTACTCACTATATACTCTCCCTCATGTAAATACACACACAGTTTTTCATCTGTTGAACACAAAAGAAGATGTTTTGAAGAATGTTAGAAACCTGTAACCATCGACTAGAAGCCAATACTTAGAACATTTTAAGAATGTTACAGGAATTGTCCAGAAACTTTATTTGATTAATTTTGCCATTTCAATAAGACCTGACAGAGCTGTTGCTTATTATACACTCACTGGCCACTTTATTAGGTACACCTCTCCAACTGTTTACAGAGAATGCTCTGAATAAGAGGAAATCTCCAGTGAGCGGCAGTTCTGAGGGCGCAAATGCCTTGTTGATGAGGTCAGAGGAGAATGGCCAGACTGGTTCCAGCTGATAGAAAGGCAACAGTAACTCAAATAAGCACTCACTACAACCGAGCTCTGCAGAAGAGCATCTCTGAACACACAACACATCCAACCTTGAGGCGGATGGGCTACAGCAGCAGAAGAGCACACCGGGTGCCGCTCCTGTCAGCTAAGAACAGGAAACTGAGGCTACAATTCACACAGACTCACCAAAACTGGACAATAGAAGATTGGAGAAACGTTGCTGCTCTGATGAGTCTCCATTTCTGCTGACACATTCAGATGCTCGGCTCACAATTTGGCCTCAACAACATGAAAGCATGGATCATCCTGCCTTGTATCAGCGGTTCAGGCTGCTGGTGGTGGTGTAATGGTGTGGGGGAGATTTTCTTTGGGTCCATTAGTACCAATTGAGCATCAACGCCACAGCCTACCTGAGTATTGCTGCTGACCATGTCCATCCCTTTATGAGCACAGTGTCTCCATCTTCTGATGGCTACTTCCAGCAGGATAACGCAGCATGTCATAAAGCTCAATCATCTCAGACTGGTGAACATGACGATGAGTTCACTGTACTCAAATGGCCTCCACAGTCACCAGAGCTCAATCCAATAGAGCAGCTTTGGGATGTGGTGGAACGGGAGATTGGCATCATGGATGTGCAGCCGACAAATCTGCAGCAACTGTGTGATGCTATCATGACAATATGGAGCAAAATCTCTGAGGAATATTTCCAGCAGCTTGCTGAATCTCTGACACCGAGGATTAAGGCAGATCTGAAGACAAAAGGGGTCCGACCCGGTACTAGTCAGGTGTACCTAATAAAGTGGCCGGTGAGTGTATGTCATTATATTGATCATTCTGTGTGTGTGTGTGTGTGTGTGTGTTACAGCAGCTACAGGGAGAGTTCCTATATGTGCAGCGTCACCCGTCACTGTGTGTGCAGGTATATTATCAGTGTTTCACTACACTACTAGTGATGTGTGTGTTTGTGCATCTGACAGTGTGTGTGTGTGTGTGTGTGTGCAGGTTGAAGTGTCTGGACTGGGTCTTCTGGATCCAGTGTGTCCTTTTGAAGGCGAGTGCTCAGTCGTCAGTCCTGCAGTGTTAATTATTAATGATGAAGAGACCAGATGATAATTCTGCTGTTCTGTGTGTGTGTGTGTGTGTGTGTGTGTGTGTGTGTGTGTGTGTGTGTGTGTGTGTGTGTGTGTCTGTGTCTATAGTGAGGAGGAACCACTGGAGCATCCCGCTGGTGCTGTGTGTGTGTCTGCTGTGTGTAACAATGCTGGGGGCGTATGCTGTACAGGGAACACTGAAGAGTGAGCACACACACACACACACACACACACACATAAATGCTCACACACACAAACACGCACATACACACCCACAGACAGACACACATGCACATACACACACACATTTGCACGCACATACACACACAAGCACAGTGGCTCTATTTCAGCTTGTGTGTTTCTGACAGGCTGGGAGTTCAGATGGCTGAAGGAGGAGGAGGAGACCCGTAAGTGTGCACATGTGTGTGTGTGTGTGTGTGTGTGTGTGTGTGTGTGTGTGTGTTTGACTCATGTGTGTGTGTGTGTGTGTGTTCCAGCACTGGTGTCCTCTGTGGATCTGCTGCTGGTCTCTCCTCCAGATGTGGACGGTGTGTGTGTGCAGATGTGTGTTCTGTCCTCCAGTCTGTCGGCTCTGGGCTTCAGTGTGTCTCTGGATCTGTGTAGCGGCTCTGCGCTGTGTGCTGTGGGCCCCGGCCCCTGGCTGCACGCGGCTCTGCGGCGCGGCGGGCGGGTGGTGCTGGTGGTGACCCCAGGGGCCTGCGCACGGGCAGAGGAGTGGAGCCGCGGGGCTCGGCCGGAGGAGCAGGAGCTGCTGGAGGACCGGTTCTGCTCCGAGGTGTTCGAGGCGTCGCTCAGCCGTCTGCGGGGCCGTGCCGCCGGGCCCTTCCTGCTGGTGCAGTTTGAGGGCCACTGCCCCCCACAGGCCCTGCCGGAGCTGCTCCAGGGGCTGCCGCTGTTCAGCCTGCCCCGCCAGAGTCTGGGCTTCATCACCGAGCTGACCCGAGGAGCCGCACACACACACACAAACACACACCTCAGAGCCGCTGCACGCGTACTATCAGGAGCGCTACGAGACTCCAGACGGACACACACACACACACTGCAGCACAAACACAACAACACACACCCGGACTGCTGGATCTGACCTCACGCTGGACCCCACTGAACACTCAGATCTGAAGGGCACCTCCCATGCAGAACTGACTCCTATGCGGGTTTAAGCCCTGTAGTGTGTGTGTGTGTGTGTGTGTGTGTGTGTGTGTGTGTGTGTGTGTGTGTGTGTGTGTGAGTTTCTCCAGCACCCTCTAATGCTCAACATGCATTATTTTATTGTTTATAATCAGAATATAAGTAAATTCTGTCATCAATAGCTGTCCATCCACATATATTGGCTGAACCTGCTTCATGGAAACCCACAGAAATATTGAGAATGCTCATTAAAAAGGTCAGATAAAGGATAAGTAGGGTCATTTGTTTTGTCTGATGGGAGTAAATGTGCTGTAAACCCGTTTACTGAATAAACTCCAGCACACACTGAGAGCCTTCATGACTCGAATACACACTGCTCTCCTGATCTGGCAACCCAGGTGCTGAGATATAATTGGCTAAACAGGCAGTGGGTGGAGCCACAGAGGCATTCTGGCACTGTCGCTAGCCGTGCTGTTCAGATAAACGTGTGCTGTATGTTAGCTTAGCATGATTGTGGAATATCTGCACACTATGCTACTGTTTTACCATGTTTTTATGCTTTAGAAGAGTCTAAACCTGACCGTCCCGCTGGCTCTGACCTCCGCTCCACACCTCACGCCAGTCAGAAACATGCTAATCCATGCTAAAGTCATGCTGCCGACTTGATCATACATACTGGAAAAATGTTAACATGCTAATTCATGCTAGAACTGTGCAAACATGCTGATTCATACAAGAAACATGCTAACAACATGCTAATCCATACTGAAAACACTGTTTCGCTTATGGTAAAACATGGAGAGAACTCGCCACAGCGTCCTCTGCTGGATCATTTGTGTGTTCAACACAGCCCGAGGTTTTTTGTTTATTTATTTGATTTACTAAAACTGCATGTAAAGGAAATTAGGCGAAATATTAATCACATGCAAAATAAAAGTTTGTTTTGACATAATATAGATGTGTGTGTGTGTGTATGTGCGTGTGTGTGTGTGTGTGTGTGTGTGTGTGTTTTATTATATATAAATATATATATATATATATATATATATATATATATATGAGAAACATAAAAATCCAAACTAAAAATCTTTTGCTCTGATATTTACACACACACACACACACACACACACACACACACACACACACACATATATATGTATATAATGAGCTCGTAGACTACTGTAATTTATGATTTTGACGGCTGTAGTACATTCACAGAGGCCAGACTGACTCATGTGTGTTCTGTACAAATATGAATGAACATACGGTTAAAAATCTCTCCTGTAGTCAGTCAGTCTGGCCTCTGTGAATGTACTACAGCCTTTATAATCATACAATTACAGTAGAGTGGTTTACTGTAAATATTGCTCTTCAACATCTGTGTTCTGTACAAATATGAACAATAATGTTGGTAAAATCTCTCCTATAGTCAGTCAGTCTGGCCTCTGGGAATGTGAGCAGACATTAGAATGAGAACATCTTGATGAAATACTGTAGATATCTTTTCCCATATATTTGTGTGATGTGTACATGAAGGGAAAATGTGAGAAAATAATGTCTGGTTGGTTCAGCTGATGTGTACTGTATGCTTATGACAGAGATTTCTGCTTTATATGTACTGTATTGTTAGTGGTTGAGTAGCCTTCTACCAGCAGCAAATATCAAACCTAAAAACAACTTTGCCAAGCTATTTATATCACTGTACTACCACAGAATCAGCACAACAGATGATTAATTCACCTACTTTACTACAGTATAGCTGAGAAACACTGTACATTACTACAGTATAGCTCATGTGGCCTGATTTAGTCATAACAACTTACTTATCAACTCAATCATCGACATTTATTTGAAAATAATAGGGGTGAATGTATGACATTTTGGTTAAAAAAAATTGCTAGTAGTGCTTCTTAATTCTTTATATGCCATATATAAACGAACAAACACACTACAAACACACACACACACACACACACACACACACACACACACACACACACACACACACACACACACACACACACACACACACACACACACACACACACACACACACCATGAGCCAGAGCGCTCGAGCCTTTTCATTCTGACACAGATTGATGCTGGGTGGGCGGTGACGAAACATGATCCTCAGCCTTTACTCTGGCACACGGCGGCCTGTGATTGGTGCAGCAGAATCCTCCTTTGACCCTGATTGGCTGTGGGCGCGTGAAGGCGGGGCTTGAGCGGTCAGCTGCAGCACGCACAGAATGAGCTAGAAGCGAGCCGATGATGGTGGACATCTGAAGAGGAGACCCGGAGAAGCTGCATCTGTGGAGATCCTGAGGCTGTTTAACACACGGAGGACACACCGACGAGTGAGTACAGCACACAACACACACACACATATACACATACAACACAACACACACACTACACCACAGAGAACACACACAAGAGAGCGGCGCCGGGGATAAACACTGTTGCGCGCGCGCGCATGTGTAATAATGTGTGTAATAATGTGTGTAATAATGGTGTGTTCGAGAGTGTTTAGTCTCGATGAATGCGTGAATAAATGAACTGCAGAATCTCCAGCATTCACTCATTGAGGCTCTGCAGACTCTGAGCATCTCTCTGCCCTACACACACACACACACACACACACACGCACACACACACACACACACACACACACGCAGCATCAGCATCAGCGCACACACCTCAACCAGGAAGAGGAACTGATGCTTCAGGCCATCGCAGGATTTAATGTGTTCATATGCATTGTCATGAACTACTTTCTCAATTATATATATATATATATATATATTTGAAGCATATTCAGTCTGATAGATGACGTCAGTGCTCTTCTTTAGTTTATAATAACAATTATTCGAATTATTATGAAAATATAGATATGAATATATATTAGGTGCTGGGCAAATATTAATGCATCCCCCAATTAGCGTTTGTTTTGACATAATATGTGTGTGTGTGTGTGTGTGTGTGCTGTATATTTATTATATATTCATATAAACATACACACAGGCATGCATATATTTGGGAAAACGTTTATATTTATTGATGCAAATTATATATAATAATTAAATATCTATGCAAAAATGCTTTGTATAGTTTTTATTTTTATGCATGTGTGTGTATTAATCACGAATGCATAATAAATATATATAATTGCACACACTCATTCATTTTCCTTCGGCTTAGTCCCTTTATTCATCAGGGGTCGCCACAGTGGAATGAACCACCAACTATTCCAGCATGTTTTACACAGTGGATGCCCTTCCAGCTGCAACCCAGTACTGGGAAACACCCATACACACTCATTCACACACACACACACACTCATTTAAGTTGATCAGTTCCCCTATAGCGCATGTGTTTTGGACTGAAACCGGAGCACTCGGAGGAAACCCACGCCAACAGGAGGAGAACATGCAAACTCCACACAGAAACACACACTGACCCAGCCGAGGCTCAAACCAGAGACCTGAGTGCTGTGAGGCCACAGTGCTAACCACTGCCCCACCCTATATTGCATCATGCATGTACATGTGTAAGTCATTGGTTGTGTGTATTGTGTACTAGACTGCACTAGTGTATTGCGTAGTGCTGATGTGTGTGTGTGTGTGTGTTTGCAGCTGGGGATGTGGTGTGTGTGGCTGCTGCTCTTCTCTCTGTCTGTGGAGACTCTGAGTTCGTCCTCCTGTCAGACCTGCAGGAAACTGAGCCACAGCTTCATCAAGGTGAGCTCCACGGCCACATTCAGCAGGTTCATCACTGAAGACTCTCCCGGAGCGCTCTGAGACGAACCCTCAGATGAGGCACGAGGAGAGGCGGCGCGGAGACTCTGTACTGAAGATTACAGATAGAGCAGTGGGGCAGCTCAATAATGTCAGAGTGCAGACAGGACCGCTCTGCTTCCCCCATCGGTGGATAATTTAGCTTACTTTTAAGATAAACACATTTTGTCTCGATATTTCTGAAAGCAACACTACATTTCAGCTGTTGCTGCTTCTTGCTTGTGTCTTGGTCAGATTGTTTGCACTATCACAGTCTGATGCTGGCTGCTGTGTGGTGTTCAGACTTCACTCCTCTATTTACAGTGTTTACCGCAGATCGTTTACTCTAGGGGTGTTCAGCAGTGTGGGGTTTTCTCTGCTGCATGTTCTGCTGTGATGAGTAAAGAGTAAACGCTGCTGCTGCTGCTGCTGTTTCAGGGTTTGGAGCGAACAGCCAATAAGAACTTCGGCGGTGGGAACACGGCTTGGGAAGAGGAGAAACTGGCCAAATACGCACGCAGGTGAGCCGACTAACCTCACAACACAGCTTCATCATGCCGAGCTGCTGCTGCATCTGCAGGCTTCCAGTGAAAGCTGCAGTGTGTGGGATTGACTCATCTAGTGGTTGATTTAGGTACTGCAGTCCACATTCAAAATGTCAGTGTTTTATCCACCCTCCCCACAGCGCAGACACAAGTGTCCAGATTGACACACAAACAGGAGCATGTCATTTCATTTGAGTCTTACACTTATGTAATGATTGTAATATTTGCTAATTTAAAAACTCCCTCTTGTGTATTTCTGTAGCTGTGAATCTGTGTGTGATTTCTGTGTCTGCTTCTGTCCACCAGAGGGCGCACTTTCAGCTGCCTCCGCATACACCAGGGGTCACCAATCCTGGTCCTGGAGGGCCGGTGTCCCTGCAGGGTTTAGCTCCATCTTGCCTCGACACACCTGCCTGGATGTTTCAAGTATACCTAAAAAGACCTTGATCAGCTTGTTCAGGTGTGTTTGATTAGGGTTGGAGGTAAAATCTGCAGGACACCGGCCCTCCAGGAACAAGTTTGGTGACCCCTGGCATACACTGAGAGCCCTCATCATGACCGTAATGAAATAGGCAGTTTTCCACAATCTGGCAACCTGCGGTGCTGAAATATAATTGGTTGAACTGGCAGTGGGCGGAGTTACAGAGATCAAAGCAAAGACAGAGATTCTCAGAGCAGAATAGCTGACCTTTAGATAAACACACACGTGTTCATTTAGCATGATCTGCACACATATGATGGTGTTACTGTGCTTTAGAAGAGTCAGAAACGTACCTTTGAGACCTGTGTGTGTGTGTGTGTGTGTGTGCAGTGAAACGCGTCTGCTAGAGATCGTGGAGGCAGCGTGTGATAAATCTGACTTTGAGTGCAACAGACTGCTGGAGCAGATCGAGGATCAGGTGGAGACGTGGTGGTTTCACAGGTGAGGGCGCTGCACGTGTGTGTGTGTGTGTGTGTGTGTGTCCTGGTGTGTTTTGATTTGATGAATGAATGCTTGTGGTGTTTGTCCTCCAGTGTTTTGGTGCATTACCGCCACCTTCAGCTCTGGAGTGTGAGTCAGACAGCAGCTTTTATGGGAATATATATTTATATAATCCAGATATAACTCAAAAGTAATATATGTTTGGTTTTTAGGGTGTGACAGACCTTAAAATGTCTTGTTTTCCTGAGCCCTGACTGTCTCCAAACTAGTGCAAACTGTCAGTTTTACAGCACGGCTGTGTCTATTGTCTTCTCCAGCCGGTCAACTGGTCAGACGGGCTCTGTCTCCAGAGCATCAGTTGCACACTTCTGTTTTCATGCTAAAATATATCATGAATGGCGACTTACATGCTGATGAGATCGGGCCAGAAAAGGCAATTTACCCTGCCGACAACAACACTTCATTTGCATGCTGTCCCCACCTACACGTGTCGATGTCTGTAAAACTGTACTCGTCTTAAAATTTCACAACAGTTTTGGTGTCGTGAGCCAGACTAGAGAAACTCAACACTTTACAGACTGAAGCACTGCACATTACTGGAGCATGCTCTGCATTTGAGTGTGAATTTACTACACAGGTGTTACAAAAGCACCTTCTATATAGTATGGAAGTATGCGATTTCTGACACAGCCATGCAGTATGTCTCATTGCACATGATGTGCACTTCAGTGTGTGTGAGACGTAGTGTACACACAACATCACTACATTACAGACTGGACTGTTTAAAACATGTCCCAGTACTGGGTTGCAGCTGGAAGGGCATCAGCTGCGTAAAACATATGCTGGTATAGTTGTCAGTTCATTCCGCTGTGGCGACACTTGATAAATAAGGGACTAAGCTGAAGGAAAAGGAATGACATGTTTAAAACAGCACATGCTGGCGACACCTGCTGGTCAAAACTGTGTAAATGCAACAAAAATCAGACGAAACAGACTTTCCCAAACACAATGCGAACTTTACATTAAAGTATAAAGCTATGAACGCATAAAAATCTGTCTAATATCAGTCAATATTAAGTGTCTGCACTCTTAAATATTATGATCTATTATTCCTTTTCATTTCACTGTCAGTTTATTGTCTCAGTAAAACTTCTGCTGACTTGTAAAGCTGATCTGAGATCAGGTTAAAACTATTACACCTGTTCAGATGTTCAGAGATTTTCCACCAGGGGGCGATCTGAGTGACCCTGCGTGATTAATGTGGGTTTTATGCTATTTCACAGATCGCCCCCTGGTGGACAAACATTTTCAAAACATTTTAAAACCGTGATGATGTAATGACGCCTTGATTACCGAAACCACATGACCTGCCAATCTGATACATGCTCGATTCGCTGACTCCAAACAAAAGATTTGTAACGGCGCATTCACACGGGGCGTCAGCGTCAACGATTTCCATTCATTTTGATTGGGTGACGTCAAGCATTGCTGAACTGCATTGTGGATCCGTCTGCGCCGCTTCAGAGGCGTTGCTCACTGTAGAAGTTGGGACTAGCTCAACTTTTCAAGTGCCGATGGAAGCATCGGCCAATCAGATCACTGTATGCATATACACCAGCTAGACAGTGGCCTACTGGTGACTGAATTTCATTGGCTGACGCTGCTAAGACGATTGTGTTAGCCCCAACTTTAGACTCGCCTTCATTAAAGCCCCATTTAAATGGGGCGTTAATGTTCGAAGCTTCATGAATCAGTGCTTTAAAATCAGCTATTAATATCTGTGTGTGTGTGTGTGTGTGTGTGTGTGTGTGTGTGTGTGTGATTACAGACAGCAGGAGGCGCCAGACCTGTTTGAATGGCTCTGCATTGAGGAGCTCAGACTGTGCTGCCCGGCGGGACACTACGGACCTCAGTGTGCAGGTAAACACACACACACACACACACACACACATGCTCATGCACATTATTCAAATGTATAATACACAGTGAGCTGAATCCATTATTATTGTCCAATAATCTGCCAATGGGGGAAGAAAAGTCTGTTATTGATAAACAAGAGTATTTCACTCGCCCTATGGCAGAGCATTTTACATGTTTTAAAGAAAAACTCTCTTCATTATTTTGAGATTTGGACTAGAAACACGTCAGTTACTCAGATCAGTGTTTTGTGTCTAATAGTTTAGTTTGTGGTCAGTAGTCGTGTAATAATCAGTGTAAAGTACATCCAGCTGGTGATTATCCCTTCAGTCTTCTACAGCAGCTGCTGATGAACCTGTAGTGCTGTATTCTGTGATCATCACCGGCTGCATGTACTTTATCCCTTACTTACAAAACTGCCCCGCTGTAAAGCTAAGCTCATGGTCAATACATTCCTGTGGTGTGTGTGTGTCTCTCTCTCTTTCTCTGTGTGTGTGTGTGTTCAGAGTGTCCGTCGGGACCCGCAGGTGTGTGTGGAGGTCTGGGTCGCTGTGAAGGTGAAGGCACGCGTCTGGGCGACGGAGACTGTGTGTGTGACCCGGGATATGCTGGAGTTCTGTGTCAGGAGTGTGCAGACGGATACTACAGAGAGAAGAGCTCCAATCACACACAACCACCCTGCTCAGGTGACACACACACACATGCACACACGCATACACACACACACACACACAATGTTTCTCAGTGGTGCAGCAGAGAAGATATGGGGCTGTGGACAATGTCAGTGCATGATGTGTGTGTGTGTGTTTCAGCGTGTCATCACTCCTGTAAGGTGTGCAGTGGTCCGCTGGAGAAGCAGTGTCAGCTCTGTAAATCCGGCTGGATCCTCCACAGCAGCAGGTGTATCGGTGAGCAGAGCAGAAGCATCTCCAATACACAGAACACCTCCAGAGTTCACCTGGAACACTCTTACTCAGAGCAGAGACTGTGCTTAAAGTCGCCATGAAATCAGAATGGACTCTTATAATTATACAGTAGAGCTTGTTGTAAACGATGTGTCCGTGCACGGCAGTGTTTAATGAAAATTAATTTGCCCACAGAAGCTTCAATCAAATATATAACCTGCCCCCTCCTCATAATCACTGCTCTACACTTCTGATCACATGGAATGCCTTTAGGGTGGAGCTATCAGTCCTTTAGGGCGGAGCTATCAGTCCTTTGGGGCAGGTCTTTCAGTGCTTTAGGGCAGGTCTTTCAGTACTTTAGGGCGGGACTATCAGTGCTTTAGGGAGGGGCTATCAGTCTTATAGGGCAGGGCTATCAGTACTTTAGGGCAGGTCTTTCAGTACTTTAGGGCGGGGCTATCAGTACTTTAGGTCTGGTCTTTCAGTACTTTAGGGCGGGGCTATTAGTACTTTAGGTCTGGTCTTTCAGTAGTATAGGGCGGGGCTATCAGTACTTTAGGGCAGGTCTTTCAGTACTTTAGGGCGGGGCTATCAGTACTTTAGGTCTGGTCTTTCAGTACTTTAGGGCGGGGCTATCAGTACTTTAGGGCAAGTCTTTCAGTACTTTAGGGCGGGGCTATCAGTACTTTAGGGCAGGTCTTTCAGTACTTTAGGGCGGGGCTATCAGTCCTTTAGGGCAGGTCTTTCAGTACTTTAGGGCGGGGCTATCAGTACTTTAGGGCAGGTCTTTCAGTACTTTAGGGCGGGGCTATCAGTACTTTAGGGCAGGTCTTTCAGTACTTTAGGGCGGGGCTTTCAGTCCTTTAGGGCAGGTCTTTCAGTACTTTAGGGCGGGGCTATCAGTGTGTGTCTGTTTCTCTCCGACTCTTGTCCAGTCTTCCTTCATTTTGCTAACAGTGTTTTGTCTTTTCACAATCCAGTCGGTTCCTGTCGGGTGACGTGCTGCACTGGCCTACATGTTCCTCATATCAGGACTGTTTTAACTGGATGAGCATGACGATAGAGGAAAAACTTCCATTTCATGGCGACTTTAACAATTCACTTTCATCTTTTACACACACCAGACTGTCTAAAGCCAACATTTATCATCTTTCTAACACTTTTATTCTGTGTGTGTGTGTGTGTGTGTGTGTGTGTGTGTGTGTTACTGCAGATGTGGACGAGTGTGGCACAGAATTGGCTCGCTGTCCGTCAAACACATACTGCTTCAACACAGACGGCTCTTACGAATGCAGAGGTCAGTCACAATATGTGTGGATGCAGTTGTGTGTGTGAGCATGTGAGTGTGTGTGTACTGATACAATTGTGTGTTTGTGTGAACTGAAACTTGTGTATTCGTGAGTGTGTGTGTGCTCCAATACAGTTTTGTTTATGTGTGTGCGTGTGTAAGTACTCATCCAATATTGTTGTGCAGGCTGTGATCAGGTGTGTGTGTGTGTGTGTGTGTGTGTGCAGGCTGTGATCAGGCGTGTGTGGGCTGTATGGGCAGTGGTCCGGCTCGCTGCAAGAAATGTGCCCGAGGCTTTAGGCTCACTGGGGCCAAGTGTTTAGGTGAGTCTCATATCAGCTGTGTGTGTGTGTTTTATTATGTTCTATTTATTTGTATGTGTGTGTGTGTGTGTGTGTGTGTGCTCGTCCCAATCCCTCTGTGTCATCCTTAGACATTGACGAGTGTTTGGAGCGCACCATTGCGTGTCCGGGCCTGAATGAAGCATGTGTGAACGAGGAGGGCTCGTACCGTTGTGAGTGTGCGGACGGCTTCATCAGGCGGGACAGCATCTGTGTGGAGAATCTCACACCTGGTGAGCACACATATACACACTCCTGCACACATACACACTCACTCCTGAGTTGACAGAGCTGACAATAACATTGTCGGCAATAACAGAGTTAAGGATGACAGAGGTGAGGGTAACAGAGTTGATGATAACAGAGTCGAGGGTTACAGAGTCTTGGATAAAGGAGTCAAGGGTAACTGAGTCAAGGGTAATGGAGTCGAGGGTAATGGAGTTGAGGGTAACGGAGTCGAGGGTTACGGAGTCTACGATAATAGAGTCAACGGTTACAGAGTCAAGGATAATGGAGTCGAGGGTTACGAAGTCGAGGGTTATGGAGTAGAGGGTTATGGAGTCGAGGGTTATGGAGTTGAGGGTTACGGAGTCAAGGGTAACAGAGTCGAGGGTAACGGAGTCGAGGGTTACAAAGTTGAGGGGGTAATGGAGTCAACGTTTACGGAGTCGTGATTAACAGAGTCAAGGGTTACGGAGTCAAGGGTTACGAAGTCGAGGGTTACAGAGTCGAGGGGGTAATGGAGTTGAGGGTTATGGAGTCGAGGGTAACGGAGTCAAGGGTTATGGAGTCGAGTGTTACAGAGTCAAGGGGTTAATGGAGTCGAGGGTTATGGAGTTGAGATTAACGGAGTCAGGGGTAACTGCATCAAGGGATATGAAACTGAGGGTAACGGAGTCGAGGGTCACAGAGTGGAGTGGGTAATGGAGTCGAAGGTTACGAAGTCGAGGGTAACGGAGTCGAGGGTCACAGAGTCGAGTGGGTAACGGAGTCGAGGGTAACGGAGTTGAGGGTCACAGAGTTGAGGGTAACAGAGTCGAGTGGGTAACGAAGTCGAGGATTATGGAGTAGAGGGTAATGGAGTCGAAGGTAACGGAGTCGAGGGTAACAGAGTCGAGGGTCACAGAGTCTAGGGTTATGGAGTCGAGGGTCACAGATTTGAGGGGGTAACGGAGTCAAGGGTTATGGAGTCGAGGGTAACAGAGTAGGCGGATAGGAGAGTTAGTTGTCTATCAGTGCTCTACGGATTGTTCTGCCTTTTCTAAGTGATGTAACAGAATTAGAGTTCCAGAGTTGACCAGAACGCAGAGATACAGAGGAAAGCTGATATTACAAATAATGCAGAAAATAGATGTTTCATATAAATGTTTATTATTTGTAGAGAGAACTCAATATATAATGTGTGTGTGTGTGTGTGTGTGTTTTCTGCAGCGGGGCCAGAGAAGGGCTTGTTTGACGACATGACGGATGACGAGGTGTTGGTTCTCCAGCAGATGTTCTTCGGCGTGGTGATCTGCGCTCTGGCTACGCTCGCTGCTAAAGGAGACATGGTGTTCACCGCCATCTTCATCGGGGGCGTCGCCGCCATGGCCGGATACTGGCTGTCGGAGAAGGGGGACCGCGTGCTGGACGGCTTCCTCAAGGGCAGGTAGAGGAGGAGACACTGACCTCACTCACTCACTGACTGATGGAGATCACACTGACGGAGACAACAGGAGAAGAGGAGGAGGAAGAATAAAGAAGATGATGATGAGGAACAATGAGGATGATGAAGAATAATTATGAAGATGATGAAGATGACGATGGATTGGTTTCTAACACTGTGTTCAACAGTTGAGCTGCTGCGTGTGTCTTTTGAGACTCAGCTTGTGGATGTGTGTGTGTGTATTTCTGAAGATCAGAGAAGATGCTGAGAACTTTTCCTGATGCAGGATACAGCGCTGACACTGATCACGAGCGTGTGTGTGTGTGTGAAAGTAATGTATGTTAATAGATCATGTTGATTTTAATGGGGTTTCCACATTCATTAATTCATGATTTGAAGACTTTATAGTGACTCTGTTATTGTTATTTTGTAATCATGATTCCCCTTCAGGGTGTGTGTGTGTGTGTGTTGCTTCAACAGATTCTCTGAGGAACACTGATGTCTGTGGTCTGCTGCTGTTCTTCTGCTCTTCTCAAGTGCAATATGAAGTGCTCCTGATCTCTGACTGCGCTCTAGAATGTCTGTGTATTCAGATTTCCTGTGATCACTCTTTCAGCTCATTTCCTCTGGCAGTGGGAGTCCTGTTTTAAATATGCAAATGTGACAGCTGTGATAGGTGGGTTCCTCCGCTGTGATTGGCTGTAGATTGCAGACGTCTGCATGCTTCAGTTTAGTTTATTTTAGTTGTGTGTGAATGTGACGACTGAGCTCTGTTCTGCCAGCCTTAAAGTCAAACCTGTTTCCTTCATCACCTGCTGTTAGGATGCTCAACTTTATAATTACATTAAAACTATTTCATTCAGCTGCTTCACTCATCTTTTTGTGACAAATTTCCAGCAGACAGACAGTAAAATGAGTATAACCATAGTTTGCTATTACGGCCAGCGCTGGTCAGTAACATTACTGCAGGTTTGTGCGGGGACTGCTGGAGTTTAATATTATTATGGTCTGGAAATTATTGTCATGTTTTGTATTTATTCTTTAATCTGTGCCCTTTAAAATGCTAAATTTGCATTTACGAGAATAAATCACAGCAGTTGAGTGTTTGTTTATATGTATTGTGTACAGTGTACTATAACAAACACAATCTGATATAATGTGACGTGTGGAAATATGTTTTTTAACCACAGCTTTATATTGCTGGAGCTCAGAATATGCTGTTTCAGAGCTGTTATGCTTCACGATGATGAACATTAGCTTGTATGTGTATATTGGCATTTTATTTTCACAGATTATTCAAATGCTGGACTGTTTTTTTATACCTAAATCACATTGGATTCTGTCCATAAATCATATTTGTGAAGTGATTCTCATCATGCTCAGCGTCCGCATGAACAACACGAGAAGAGGAAGAGTGCGTTTGTTTTCTTCATCTCTCATAATATGCCTCAGCACAGTCGTGTTTTCAGTGGTCTGTCCGCTCCTCGTGGATGAAAATGTCCAGTTTTCCCTCGTCTTGTACCTCTCAGAAATACTATACAGACGTGAATTCTGCTGTCATATCTCACAGACAGGCCCACGACATGTAGAAAAGATAAAAAATCTCATTTATTTAAATCTTCAACATGAACATTATCTGCAAATCCTGAACAAACATGATGAACATGAAACAAACAAGCCAAGAAACAGCTGCAGGATCTGTGATCGACCTGTGGCGCTGCGGACATTATAGTTTATTAAAAGAGATGAAATCAGATTCCTAATTGTTTGTGGTTTTTCCAGAGCCAGGCGTGATAATCGTTGAGTTTATGATCGTCTGGAGTGACCTGTAGAGACCAGAACACTCTGATTTACATATAGTAGAGTACGGTAGAGGAGAGTACAGTGTAGTGGAGTACAGTACAGAAGAGTAGAGTATGGTAAGAGTATAACATTTTACAGTACAGATGGAAACAGTACAATATAGTATAGTATAGAGGAGTACAGTAAAATAGAGCAGAGTAAGGTAGAGTATAGCAGACTGCAGTAGATCAGAGTATAGTATAGTATAGAAGAGTAGAGTACAGTACAGGAAATATCAGTATAGTAGAGCAGAGTATAGTAGAGAACACTAGACCAGAGTATAGCGGAGTACAGTGAAGTAGGGGAGTGTATAGTAGAGCAGAGTATAGTCAAGTACAGCACAGTAGAGCACAGAAGTATAGAGCGTAGTATAATACAGTATAGTAGAGCAGAGTATTGTAGAGTACAGTAAAGCAGAATAGATCATAGCGTAGTAAAGTAGAGCAGAGAATAGTAGATTACAACAGGCCAGAGAAGAGTTTAGTAGAGTACAGTAGAGTTCAGAAGAGTATAGTCCAGTATAGGTTATTAAGTGTATAGTCCAGTATAATAGAGTATGGTCCAGTGAAGTATTGTAGAGTACAATAGAGCAGAGTGCAGTTGAGTATAGTTCAGTAAGTGTATACTCAAGTATAGTATAGTCCATACGAGTATAGTCCAGGAAGTGTATAGTCCAGTATAGTAAAGTATAGTCAAGTATAGTAGAGTAGAGTGGAGTATAGTATAGCAGAGTGCAGTACAGTTACAGTAGAGTAAAGTGCAGTCGGGAATAGTAGAGTATAGAAAAGTGGAGTATAGAACAGTCCAGTAGAGTATAGTCCAGTAAAATATAGTGCAGTAGAGTGTTGTTCAGTAAGTGTATACTCCAGTATAGTAGAGTATAGTCCAGTAGAGTACAGTACAGTATAGTGTGCAGTTCTCACCTCTCTCCACTCGTCCACACAGAAGATGCGGTACGAGTCGTTGCCGTATTTGCCGATGCCGTGCAGCTCGATAGGGTACTGCCATGATTTACTGATGTACTCATCTGATTAACAACACCAGAACACACACACACACACACACACACACACACACACACACACACACTAAAGCATTCATTTACACAGTCTGTCATACATTTACTCTACAAATATCAGCAAATTACCCATGATTCTCTGCAGTAACCCTGAACACACACCCCAGCGGTGACATGACTGAGTGTGTCTACAGCTATAACAATCCAACACAGAGACAGGGCAAAGAAAATGTGGACAGGACTCACTGTAAGAGAGTGTGTGAGTGTGTGCACATACCAGAGAAGCGTATGAGTGTTTTGGCTCTCAGTTGGCTGAGCCCGAGCGGCTGCAACAGCACAGACAGGGGGCGCCAGTCACTCACACGGGTCACTGCAGCACTGGGGTAACACTCCAGAAACTCCCACAGCACCGGCAGAGCCACACGCGCTGGACACACACACACACACACACACACACACACACACACACACACACACACACACACACACACACACACACACACACACACACACACACACACACACACACAGAGGAGAATCACACACACTGTGAGTGCATGTATTATTGGTCTTGTTGAACAACAGGAGTGAATGTGTGTGTGTGTGTGTGTGTGTGTGTGTGTGTGTGTGTGTGTACCATTGGTCTTGTTGAGGAATATAGTGGCCACCAGGAGTCTCCAGGGGTCATGGAAGAGCGTCTCCTGCACCAGCCGAAAGGGGGAGCGAGGAGGAGTCCACTTCCTGAAGACCTTACGCCTCGGCCGGCGCACAGCTGGAACACACACACACACACACACACACACACACACACACACACACACACACACACACACACACACACACACACACAGAGTTTCTCACAGGAACAACAGTTTCTCAGTGACTGCTGAAATGAGTGTGTGAGTGTGTGTGTGTGAGTGTGTGAGCGTGTGTGAGTGAGTGAGTGAGTGTGTGTGTGTGTGCTCATGATATGGCGTACCCTCACTCCTCCTGCTGAAGTATGGACTGGTCTTGCGCTTCTCTACAGTTCTCTTCAGGCCTGAGGACAGAGCGGATGATGAGAACACACTGTTGAGGACACGCTCGGCCTGTCAGCAGCAGTGTGTACTGAACAGGCTACTGATGGAGCCAGATAACTACTAGATCAACCAAACAGCAGCAGTGGCGAGTCTGCACTACACTCATGTGCTCGAGAACACCGTCAAGAACTTTAAGAGTCTGTCTATTACAGGAATATTTGTATTTATTGGCGACATTCCACAATGAACTCAGATGATTTCTCTCTCATCACTGATCGGCTCATGCTGAATGCTGAGGGTCTGGTTAAACACTGAACCTGATGTTACAGTAAAGTGTGTGTGTGTGTGTGTTTTCACTGCTGCTGCACATCACAGACACACTGATTCTGAATATCTGCTCGCCTCTTTGGCTCGCTGTATGTCTGAAAGCAAACACTGATACGATTATCTCTGAAGACTCACGACTCTCAGAGTTTCCAGCAGGTGAAGCACAGCCAGAGTGTTTCTGCCTCATCTCTTCTCCAGCGCAGTCATCCGGAGGCTGATCTGGGGTCAGATGTGAGTGTGTGTCTGGTGGCTGATCTAGGGTCAGATGTGAGTGTGTGTCTGCTTCTGGATGCTGATCTGGGGTCAGATGTGAGTGTGTGTCTGCTTCTGGATGCTGATCTGGGGTCAGGTGTGTGTGTGTGTCTGCTTCTGGATGCTGATCTGGGGTCAGGTGTGTGTGTGTGTCTGCTTCTAGATGCTGATCTGGGGTCAGATGTGAGTGTGTGTCTGCTTCTGGATGCTGATCTGGGGTCAGGTGTGTGTGTGTGTCTGCTTCTAGATGCTGATCTGGGGTCAGATGTGAGTGTGTGTCTGCTTCTTGATGCTGATCTAGGGTCAGATGTGTGTGTGTGTCTGCTTCTTGATGCTGATCTGGGGTCAGATGTGTGTGTGTGTCTGCTTCTAGATGCTGATCTGGGGTCAGATGTGAGTGTGTGTCTGCTTCTGGATGCTGATCTGGGGTCAGGTGTGTGTGTGTGTCTGCTTCTGGATGCTGATCTGGGGTCAGGTGTGTGTGTGTGTCTGCTTCTGGATGCTGATCTAGGGTCAGATGTGTGTGTGTGTGTCTGCTTCTTGATGCTGATCTAGGGTCAGATGTGTGTGTGTGTCTGCTTCTTGATGCTGATCTGGGGTCAGATGTGAGTGTGTGTCTGCTTCTGGATGCTGATCTGGGGTCAGATGTGTGTGTGTGTCTGCTTCTAGATGCTGATCTGGGGTCAGATGTGAGTGTGTGTCTGGTGGCTGATCTAGGGTCAGATGTGAGTGTGTGTCTGCTTCTGGATGCTGATCTGGGGTCAGATGTGTGTGTGTGTCTGGTGGCTGATCTGGGGTCAGATGTGTGTGTGTGTCTGCTTCTGGATGCTGATCTGGGGTCAGGTGTGAGTGTGTGTCTGCTTCTAGATGCTGATCTGGGGTCAGATGTGAGTGTGTGTCTGCTTCTAGATGCTGATCTGGGGTCAGATGTGGGTGTGTGTCTGCTTCTGGATGCTGATCTGGGGTCAGGTGTGTGTGTTTGTATTTCTCCGCGTCTCTTCTTCTGCTGTGGCGGGTGTGAGGCATGGCTCTGTGCAGATCTTCACACTGATGACAGCTGCTGCTGGAAGAGACACCGCTGGGGATGAGTTATTAATCTGTTCAATTAATTTTCTGCATGAGAAATCATGAAATCAGCAAATGACAACAGCAACTTTCAATTAGGACTCAACAACACTCCTCAACCAATGCTACTTTCCACAAGGGGGAGAAAAGGAAGAGGAGTACAGTTAATTAGTTAGACAACTAAAGTAATAAGAACATTTAATTACAATAAATAAAATGATGCCCTTTTTTACGAGATGTAAACTGTGTCAATAGAGGTAAAGTGTGTTTAATATGGACACACTCGGTCATTCAGCAGTCTCTATATTGTTCAGCATGTTACTCTGAATATTGGATGGGAATGAGCATGCCAGCATGACTTGTACACAACATTAACACTGTCTAATTGACTGTGATCAATGCTGGACTGTGATAGTCATTGGCTGCTAATCTGATTTCCCTATTTAGAATTAGCAAAGAAAACTTTCCTGACATGATATTATTAAGGAGAAAGTCTGAATTTCCCAATATAACACAGCTTTACCTGTTGTGATTGTTCAATCGCTCACTCTCTCTCTCTCTCTCTCTCTCTCTTACACACACACAGAGAGAAACACACCTGCTCGCTGCTCATGATCCTCTGGAGCTCAGGCGCTGGTGGTTTCTCAGACGCTGTGAGTTGTGAACGCTGAGCAGAAGCGGGTTAAACACACTCGGATGAGCGCGGACACTTTCGCGTGTGGACTGGCTCAATGTAAACAAACACGGGAGCGAGAGAGAGACCGAGAGAGGAAGAGAGAGCTTGACTCGGGCTCTGTCGCCTCCTGCTGCTGCGGCGGAGAATGACAGCAAGTTCAAGTTCAATTATAAACACACTTCAAGTTCAGGACAGCAGCACCTGCCTCACACTGAGCTCACAATCTACTCTGGTTTCATTATAAGCAAGGCACAGGACTTTTTTAATAGTTTAAAACTAGACGGTCATGCGTTTTATTTATTGAAACACACTATAGTTATCTGTATAGTCAAATGTCCACTGTTTTTAATTGTAGTAAAGTGTATTATACTGTACACATTACAGCTCTTTGTTAATGATCGCTCACAAAGCACACTAGTATCGACTATAGTGATCTGAAACGGATAAATACTGCAGTATACTTAGTACGCAGTAAACTGAGGTGTATAATATATCCTATAGCTGTAGAACACTACAATACAGTACCATAGCATTACCATAGTTACCATAGCAACTGTAGAATCACCACAATAGATGAATTACTATAGTTATGTTGCCATAGCAACTGTAGACTTAGCATAACAGATCAATGAATGTGGTTGTTGTGTTACCATAGCAACTGTAGAATCAACACAACAGATCAATCCCTATAGTTGTTGTGTTACCATAGCAACTGTAGAATCACCACAACAGATCAATCCCTATAGTTGTTGTGTTGCCATAGCAACTGTAGAATCACCACAACAGATCAATCCCTATAGTTGTTGTGTTGCCATAGCAACTGTAGGATCACAACAGATCAATCCCTATAGTTGTTGTTGCCATAGCAACTGTAGAATCACCACAACAGATCAATCACTATAGTTGTTGTGTTGCCATAGGAAAAGGCAAATCGCTGTAATAGATTAGATCAAGTTCTTCAGTATGATTAAAACACACTACTGTATTTCCTGTGCATTACTGTAGTATTTTATAATAATGCTGCAGCACACTGAGTATTTTAACTCTCCTGATTATACTGTCTGAGTTGTTGTAATTGTTAATAGAGTTTGTTTCAGCAGCATCCCTTATTAATACTGTTATACATATTGTGCATGCCTATAAAGCTTCTTTCTTTCTTCCTTACCTTCTGTATAGCCAGTAGCAGAGTAAAGATCAGGATAAAGCACATCCAGCTGGTTGTTTTCTCAGAATAAAGCTCTCAGTCTTCTACACCGTGCTGCGCTTCACATTGAGCTGCTGATAAACCTGTCAGGCTTTACTCTGAGATGAACACCTCCTGGATCTGCTTTATCCCCGGCTTAAGCACTGTTATGTCTCACTTTGACTATACACTCTTACAGGAAGAGTTCACAGCTCTGCCATTCACAGATCATTCTGGGTACGCTGAGGAACAGTAAGCACATTAGTTTTATTTTTAATTTAAGGAACATTTGATTATGCTGAAGAGCCTTTTCCACTATAGAGAACTTTAGTGCCGTGTGAAGGCCTTATGGATAATACGAGTATTCCTGGAGCCAATGAAGAACCGTCTGTTTAAGAAGAGAGATTCAGAGCAGATGAAGATGAAGAACACCAAACATCATCATCACACTGTTATTGTGTGACACATTTGGCATGTTTGTGTGGGTGTGTGTGTGTTAATCTGCACACACACACACACACACACACACACACACACACACACACACACACACACACACACACACACACACACACACACACACAGCCTCATTAATGGACACCCCGTGGACTAAAGATTCATTGAAGTCCTGCATCAATCAGACCATGACTGATGAAAATAGCTGATCACACACACACACACACACACACACACACACACACACACACACACACACACACACACACACACACACACACACACACACTGACTGAATGATGCAAACACACAGATCAAACAGGCTGAAATAAGCAGATCTCTCGGTAGCGCTGTCTGTCCTCTAAATGCAGTTTTCTTCAGCAGCACACGTCTCTGATAGAGAAACTGCAGCAGCAGCAGCACACCTCCACACACAACACACATCACATTAATCAGCTCACACTCTTCTAGATGTGCTGGACATTTCTGCAGGTCAGATATATTGTGAATGAACTCTGCAGTTTGAGCACTGATATCTCCTCTACCAGTTATAAAGTGCCTCAGTAATAACAATATTCAGTGATTAATCAGATTGCATAAGGATGAATGTGGGCTGAAGATCAATCCCAGCTGTGATCATTATTTTACTGTGGAGTAACACAAACACAACCTATTAAAACCAGTTACACAACAACAACAACACACAGTGACATGCAGATATCCAAGACAGGTTTCTGCTTTCACAAATTAAGTTTTTATTATATACAGTTGAGGTCAGAATTATTCACCCCCCTGTTTACTTTTCCCCCAATTTCTGTTTATCAGAGAGCAGATTTCCCCAACACATCTCTAACCATAACAGTGTTAATAACTCATGTCTAATAACTGATTTATTATCTCTTTGTCATGATGACAGCACATAATATTAGACTAGATATTCTTCAAGACACTAGTGTTCAGCTTACAGTGACATGTAAAGGCTTCACTAGGGTAATTAGGGTAAAGTTAGGGTAATTAGGCAAGTCATTGTAGAACAGTGGTTTGTTCTGGAGACTATTGAAAACAAATGTAGCTTAAAGGGGCTAATAATTTTGACCTTAAAATGGTGTTTAAACAATTAAGATCAGCTTTAATTCTAGCCGAAATAAAACAAGTAAGACTTTCTCCAGAAGAACAAATATTATCAGACACACTGTGAACATTTCCTCAATCTGCTCAACATCATTTGCAAATATGTTAAAAAGAAATCAAATTCAAAGGGGGGATAATAATTGTGACTTCAACTGTACTTAAAGCAATGTAACTTGCCATTATTGGCTTGGTAATTAATAGTTAATTATGAAATTATGGGCACTTTATTTATTATTTATTTAAATTGCACTGGTCAACTCAACTGTAGTGTTTGTCCATATGTGACCCAACAACCCAGCATTTTAACCCAGAGACGACATCAGTCAAAACCTCATATTTAAAAAACCTCAGGTTTATACACACATCTACATGTGATATGTGATATTAATGCAGTATATTAGATTTTAGTCATTGGGTTCTTTCTGATAGCAATAGTAATTGCAGGATATTTGTGTAAACTTTCATGGCAGCAGTTTAATTTTCAGGAATATGTTATTACATCCCTCTTTTCAATCTGTATTCTTTAAATATATATATATATATATATATTCGTGAAATCAGCATCAATGACAACAATAGGATGTTTTATTTCTTTGCTCTACAATGACATTTGCTGCTTGTTCAAACACTCTAAGAAATGCTGGGTCATTTAAAATTAAATTGGGTAAAATATGGACTAACATTGGGTTTAATGTGGTTCTGTTAATGTAATTAAAATAATTAACCCAGCAGGTGATTTAGTTAGTCCGTATTACACCCAGAATTAAGTTGTCATAACCTACAGCATTTTGTAGTTTGAGTTAAGGGAGTTAAAACAACACAATTCGTATTTTTTTGGGCAACAATTTGTTTATCTTAAATCCACTTAAATGTGTAAAAACAATTAATTGAACTTAATTTGTGCACTGATTGAGCTTTAAAAAACATTTGTACAGAATCACGTATTGGTCGCGCTGTCAGTGAACTGAGTCATCCTCTATAACAGCACTGCAGATATTCAGTTATGAGCTCGGTTTATTATTCTAAACCAGAAATCATCATTAAACACCCCTCTGCATGACTTTCCCTCTCTCAGAGTGTGTTTCTGATCTCTTCACCACTGCAGTTTTAAAAAATCCACAATTCTTTTTCTTTTATTTGATCAGTTTCTGTGAATTTTCGCTTCATTTATTTATTTATTTATATATTTATTTATTTATTTATTTATTTATGTATTATGTTTATTTATTTATTTATTTATTTGTTTATGTATTTATTATTTGCATCTGAACCCGCTGTGTATGTTTAGAACTCAAACCCAAAAGCAGACATTCGCATCGAAAGCATTTTATTGTACATCATCATCATCATCATCATCATCATTTATATGCTCTTTTATCAATTGAACAAAAATAAATCATGGAAATGTACAGGTCAAACTCATGCAAGAATTAAATCACTGTAGAAAAATATCTCGGCAACCCGTTTCACTGTTTTTGCGAACCCAAACCCGATGGCATTTACACTGAGCAAAAGTGCGAGATCCGTGCTGATGAGCGCAGAAATGCTTCCAGAACAGACCGACGGAGAGAGCAGATCTCCGGTCAGCTGAGGAGCATTTCGCGCCGGTGTCCGGACAAATCATGATGCCCATCAGATTATACAGAGCAACACTGTGTTTGACTGGTTCTGAGGTTGGGGTTAGGGGTTGGGTGATATCAGCCTCAGAACTACATCAAACATTTACACTATACAACCCGATGGGCGCATATTCAGCGCTACCTACTTTTGGAAAAGGAGTTATGGGACGGTTTGACATTGGGGTAAAGCTGGGTTTATACTCACACATTAGGTCTTTCTCCTTGATATAATTTTAAAAAAGTCTTATTTACTAATTCTAAACACTGAAATCATGCTATCAGCCAATCTTCCTATGGGAGGTATGAAATCCGACAGCACAGACAGACATTGAGGAAGAGTTGGTTTTATTTTCGCGTTCATATTTGAACAGTGTCAATGGTGGCATGCTGCCTATATTGTTTACCACATTACACTCTGAATATTGGGTCTGAAATGGCATGCAAGACTTCAAAACAACACCAGCACTATTAACTGACTTTAAACAATGTTTGACAGATCATAATTTGACTGATAATGTGATTCCACTATTTATAATTGGCAAACAACACTTTCCTGAAATCACATCATTAAGGAGACAGTCTGAACGTGCGCATATAAACCCAGCTTTACCCCAGTGTACAGCAGACACCGGAGGACTCCCCGCGCAATTACGCGCGCCGGAGAAACAAAAACGCGTCACAGGTGAATGAGGCTTTGAACTGTCGCTTCGAAAACTGGCACATGGAGAGACAGGTGTGTTTCCCGAACACTTACTGAAGCGTCCGTTCACCCGCCCGCCGAGAGTTACTCTAGCCCCGGCAGCTCGTCCTCCAGCTCCGCGCGCCGGCCCGGGTGCTGCCGCTTCTCCGGGGCTCCGCTCGTGTCCAGGAGCTCCAGCAGCCCGCAGCCGGCGTCCGCCCATCCCTCGCACCGCCTCTTCCCAGGGTGCTGCCGCTTCTCCAGCTCAGCTGAGTGTCCATCTGCCTCCTGCAGCTCGCGCCGGCCGGGGTGCTGCCGCTTGTGGAGCAGCATCAGGTAGCGTTTCCCGGGGTGCTGCCGCTTGGAGAGCTCGCTGAGCGCAGTGGGGTCCTCTAGCATGCCCAGATCCAGAGGCGCGCGCTTCCCGGGGTGCTGCCGCCTCCAGCGCTCCATCTCCACCTCCGGCTCCAGATCCTCCTCGCGTTTCCCGGGGTGCTGCCTCTTGCCCGGGTGCTGTCGCTTCTCCATCCACTCCGGCTGATCTGCTCACACACACACACACCCACACACACACACACACGGCACTTCTGTGAGTCAACACACACACTCCAGTGTCTGCCTGTGTGGAGTAATGTCTAGTGCAGTGTTCAGTGTGGTGATGCTATAGTTGCTTGTATGCGTGGTCAATGAGCTTATATTATATTAGAGAACACCACCACATTACTGCAGTGAAAATAAAGTCCACTACAGCATTTATGAGCTCATCAGTTCACTAATGCAGCACTCATTAACAAACAGTTAAACACTATAATGCACATACACTGCCTAGAGTTCACAAACACCTTAGTGTTTACTCTATATTAATCATATGTTTTCATGCAGACAGTTGCTCAATATAGCGACAATTACACCCATGATAAACACTTTTCTACATCAGTGTAGAGTTGCGCGATAAATGCGTTTAGTAAGAGTTTAATGGCAATAGTTTATATTAATTTAGCCAACGACATTTGTATTCATTTCAGTTTTAGTAAACATACAGTAAACGATAATTTACTGAAGTCACAGTGTCGTTATAATGTATATCAGGCCTACAGCAATAACTGACTAATAACGCAACTTTAAACCAACTATAATCATCTTCGTATAGTGTTTAATTGTAGAATTACGCAGTCACCAAAATAACCCTCAAACTGAGCGAAACTGACATTGTGCGTTCAGCTTTGTGATAAATAAGAAGTACAGCACAGAAACAGCCTGTAAAACGCTTTGTGTTGCGGCGAGTCAGATTAAATTACACATTAAAGTGGACTGAACATAAAACAAGTTATCCCCCGACAAAACTCAAGATTGTTTCAGCTCATTTAAACTGTGGCAATCTTTTTTTTGTAAGTTTCTGACTAGGGTGTGTGTGTGTGTGTGTGTGTGTGTGTGAGCTGCACCGTTCTCGCTGTTCTGCTCCTCCATCTGTGTGAGGATGGAGCGCAGCAGCAGATCCTCCGCCCGCTGGAACAGCTCCTCCTCGGCCGGGCCGTCCTGCCCGCGGACCCCCGGAGCTCCGGACACCGCCACGCAGGCCAAGACGAACACACACACCGCCCGCATGTCCTGACGCACACACAAACACACACAGGGTCATCAACATCTTCACACACACACACACAGATCAGATCACACACCTGGAGACGCTCGTGCACGCAGCTCACCTGCAGAAGTGGACTCCTCAGGTGTATCTGCTGCTGAATCTGATGCTGTGGGTCTGCAGGTCAGCAGAGTGGATGCAGCTGAGAGGCGCGCGCGCGTTTATAAAGGCTTGTGACATCACACCGGGGGCTTCGGGACTCTGACGTCATCCGGACGGGGGCAGAATGACGCTTCTGAGGCTAAAACAAAACAAAAAAATCAAAAAAAAACAAAACAAAAAAAACACCTCCTTCATTCATAAAAGTTCCTGACTCCAGTAATCAATCATCATCCAGCAGAGCGCACACACACACATACACACACACACACACACCATATGCTGGAGTCATTCACTGCAAATACTACAGTGTTTACATATATAGTAAAGTGGGTTATACTGTTCACAGCGGAATGAACCACCAACTATTCCAGCATACGTTTTACACAGCGGATGCCCTTCCAGCTGCAACCCATCACTGGGAAACACCCATACACACTCATGCACACTCACACACACACACACACACACACACACACACACACACACATACATACACACACACACACACACTCATACACTACGGCCAGTGTAGTTGATCAGTTCCCCTATAGCGCATGTGTTTGGACTGTGGGGGAAACCGGAGCACCCAGAGGAAACCCACACCAACACGGGGAGAACATGCAAACTCCACACAGAAACCCCAACTGACCCAGCCGAGGCTCAAACCAGTGACCTTCGTGCAGTGGGGCGATTGTGCTACCCCCTGTGATGCCCTGTTTTGTGAGTTTAAGGTTATCGCACACAATGCAAAAATTATCGTTGGTAATTTCCGCTCGTTAAAAATAAATTCAACATCACGGTGAGCCAATCGTTGACACTCTGACACACTTTCATCTGTCATAACTACAGTAAACTGTGGTGTGCTGTCGTGTAATACACCTTATTGTTCTCAAAAACCACAATCATTAGGTCAAATTCTGATCATTACAGTTTTGTAAGTAAGGGATAAAGTACATGCAGCCGGTGATGATCACAGAATAAAGCACTACAGGTTCATCAGCAGCTGCTGTAAAGACTGAAGGGTTCATTCTGTGATAATCACCAGCTGGATGTACTTTACACTGATTATTACACGACTACTGACCACAAACTAAACTATTAGACACAAAACACTGACCCTAACCTTAACTTTTTAATTAAATGTAAAGCTTGCCGAGAGAAACAACAGCTAAACGCAGCTACATTAAGCTGCATATCATCAATAATATCACATAATATTTTTCAGTCACAAGAGGACGTCAAACAGCCCAGAGCACCAGAGAGAAATATGCATACAGTTATGCTTAAAAGTTTACACATCCCTTGAAAAATCTGTTAAAAAGTGAATTAAGAGAGATCATACAATATGCATGGTGTGGTTAGTATACTGAGTAACATTAAAAATGTTTATATACACAAAAACAGAGCTGAAGTTATTAAAATAACTAATTAAAGAACTATCATGCTTCAGATCACTGCTGGTGTGTATGTTTTGTGAGAAATAGCTGTGCAATAATCAGTGTAAAGTACATCCAGCTGGTGATTATCACAGAATGAACCCTTCAGTCTTCTACAGCAGCTGCTGATGAACCTGTAGTGCTTTATTCTGTGATCATCGCCGGCTGGATATACATTATCCTGTTAATAACATTCTGGAATTCTGTGATTGACCAATCAGAATCAGGTCTTCCAGAGAGACAGGTCATACACATGTTTTTTGTGGTTTGGACCAGCATCACACTGTCAGTGCTTGACCTGCTGCTTTGCTTCATCAGTCTTTCCTCCTAGACGTCCTGGATTTTCTGCCAGAATCCCGGCGAGCCACAAAAGGATCCAGGAGTTCATCTGAGCCCTAAAAGCAATCGTGCTGGCTGGTGCTGGTCTGGAGAGTTGATTATGCAGAAGCGCTCGTACAGTCGTACAGGCGGCGTGTAATGCAGTAAATCAGGCCTCTTTATGCGCTGTCACGTCCAATACTTCAGCCGTCAATATCAATCATCTCATACGGATCACAGACAGAAGAGGACGAGGAATTAATAGCTGCACATTTGAGGAGATCCAAAACTCCAGCCCACAAGAGGAAATACTGCAGTGTTTATAAACCGCACTATAGTAAAGCACCTGAACTCAGTTGCTATGGTAACACAACAACTATACTCGTTGATCTGTTGTGGTGATTCTACTGTTGCTATGGTAACACAACAACTATACCAATTGATCTGTTGTAATGATTCTACTGTTGCTATGGTAACACAACAACTATACCAATTGATCTGTTGTGGTGATTCTACAGTTGCTATGGTAACACAACAACTATACCAATTGATCTGTATTGGTGATTCTACAGTTGCTATGGTAACCATGGTAATGCTATGGTAATACTGTAGTGTTTTACAGCTATAGGGTACATTATACTACAATACGCCACAGTTTACTGCAGTAAACACTAGAGTACACTACAGTATTTATCACAGTTGATCAGGTCACTCTAGTCAACACTGCAGTGTGCTGGAACATTCACTAAAGAGTTGCAAATACTACAGTATATCCAGTATAATATGCTTTACTATAGTATGGTTCAGATCAGTATAGTGTTTACTGTAGTATTTTCCCGTTTAGAACATGATGTTGGGCAATATATGCAAATGACTCATGATAATGTTGTAATGTTATGATGTATATATGTCAGTGAATTAGGACACATTTTCTATATGTGTAATCTAAACATGATCTTGTGTGTGATGTGGGTAATTTGCATATATCTGTGTGTATCGGGTTTCAGTGTGTGTGTTCATATGAGGAGGACTAAAGCTGTATTGCGCTGCTAATTGCTCCTCATCAGGGCTCATCAGTGTGTCCTCAAGCGCAACTCCAGGACCAACTTTAGCTCCGCATGTTCGCCCGTGGCTTTCTACACCTACTCTTTAAATCTGTGCTTTGTTCTGTGAAATAGTCATCGTATTGTGTTTACAAAGGCCTACACACACACACACACACACACACACACACACACACACACACACACACACACACACACACACACACACACACACACACACACACACACACACACACATGCACACACTGAGAGAATCACTTATAATAGTGCAAATTAGCTGACAAGGAGATCTGACCCAAAGGTCGTGCTGTCAGCCTGTAATTACTGCATGAACGTGAACACACACACACACACACACACACACACACACACACACACACACACACACACACACACACACACACACACACACACACACACACACACTGTTTAATGGTGTAGCAGAGCGTCACATTAAGATGCAGTCTGTTTTATTTGTGCAGAACTCAAAGGCGAAGCGAGCAGCACCAGCGGCTTCACCACCATAATGATCAGTGTGTGTGTGTGTGTGTGTGTGTGTGTGTGTGTGTGTGTATTTATCTGGCTGTTCAGATATGTGTGTGTTCGGCTTTTCAGATTACTGTGTGTGTGTGTGTTCGGCTGTGTGTTCGGTTGTTCAGATGTGTGTGTGTGTGTGTGTGTGTTCGGCTGTGTGTGTTCGGTTGTTCAGATGTGTGTGTGTGAGTGTGTTTAGCTGTTCAGATGTGTGTGTGTTCGGCTGTTCAGATGTGTGTGTGTGTGTGTGCGTGTGTGTGTTCAGCTGTTCAGATGTGTGTGTGTGTTCTGCTGTTCAGATGCAAGTGTGTGTGTGTGTGTGAGTGTGTGTGAGTGTATGTTCGGCTGTTTAGATCAGTGTGTGTGTGAGTCCAACCCGAGACTAGTGAGGTGTACCTAATAAAGTGGCCGGTGAGCGTGTCAGAAGTCAACAAACACTCATTTTAGAGGCATTTCTCAGAGCAGTTGTATTTGTATGACAGTGATCATTGCTGTGACGGCACTGTTAATGTAATCTTAAAGATGTTTAAAGTAATGTTGACTCTTTCCACAGCACATTTCTGTTCCTATGAAAGTGTCACAATATTGAATTGGAAAGTTTATATATTTGTTTTCGCCTGAAACTTTCCAGATGTCACTCCACACGGAAAAGACACAAAGACAAGAGCAGACAGCCTGGACGAAAACAGCCCCAGCTGACTGACAGAGCGTGCGGCTGACACACACTCTTAGCCTAAACTGCTTGTTATCCCAGAGATTTCTCTCCAGGTGAGACGCAAACACTGCAGAAATAAATAAAGCCTCTGCTTGTGTTAACACTGAGTCCAGATACACGCTGGTGACTGATACACACCCTCCCCACTGCTCTGCTGCCTGACACTGGGCTGACAGGGGTCACCATGGCGATGTGTGTGATTGACAGCTGCAAGGCGGAGTCCGGATGCTGCTTCTGCAGAGGTCAGCGGGTGATGCTTTGGGACACGAGTCCAGTCACACACACACACACACACACACACACACACACACACACACACACACACACACACACACACACACACACACACACACACACACACACACACACACACACACACACAGAGTCATAACAGAACATTTCAGACATTTTCATTTGTTTTCCTCAAATTAGAATGCTGTATAACACATGTATGAGCATTTGATTCTGTAACTAATTGTTAAGTTATCGTTAAACTTTATAAATCACAGACAGCAAAAAATAACAAAATCAACAAGTAACAGAGTCGACGATAACAGAGTCAACGGTGACAGAGTCGACAGGTAATAGAGTCAACAGGTAACAGAGTCAACGGGTAACAGAGTTGACGGTGAAAGTATCGGAGGGTAACAGAGTTGACGGGTAACAGAGTCAGCGGGTAACAGAGTTGACGTTGACAGAGTTGACGGGTAATATAGTCAACGGGAACAGTGTCGACAGGTAACAGAGTCCACGGGTAACAGAGTTGACGGTGACAGAGTTGATGGTGTTAGAGTCGGAGGGTAACAGAGTTGACGCTGACAGAGTTGACGGGTAATATAGTCAACGGGAACAGTGTCGACAGGTAACAAAGTTGACGGTGACAGAGTTGACGGTGACAGAGTCCATGGGTAAAAGAATCAACGGTAACTGAGTTAACAATGACAGAGTCGACGGCTAACAGAGATGACA